CTCAGTGCTGAAAAAACAAAACAAAACAAAACTGGATGGGATACAGGAGAAAAAAAGTAGTAATTTAAAGTATATATATAAAAGACAGTTATACTAATTTCTCTTAGTTCATTGCAAGGAAAGGTTTGTGCTAATGTTGTTTGAACCATTAAATACCTGATAATGCATAATGAATTTATTAACCATTGTTACTCTCCTATTGTTTTGAAATTTTCATTTTTTCTCTTTATGATAAAGTTATCAGACAGCATTAAATATAATTTATTTGAAAATTAAAAGCCTCACAATCATGCTGATTAATTCTGATCAGAGCCAGATAACCAGTGGTACATTTACTGTACGGAGTTTGAATAATTCTAGCTTAAAGCATAGAAAGTTTTACATAGGCTGTCCTAAACTGTGTTGTAGGTGTACTTAATTTTTTATTTTAAAGAGTAAAAACAAAACCAGAAGCAAAAAGAAATAACAAAAACAAGGCAACATACAACAATGCAAATGGTACAGAATTTCAAAACAGGAATAGAATATTTAAAAATGGTTGTTACGTATCATCATTAAATTTGTTAATCAATTTAAATATTTTGAAATGCTACTGAAAATAATCCATTGTGACTAAGAAGCCTGTATTAATCACAACTGCGTAATTCAAGATTAAAATTAAACAACTTTATTAACATGGTAATCAAACTTACACTTAATCCATTTATTGAATAGTTTTTCACCATTTCTGAAATAATTTTGTTATAATTTTGATTAAGGAATTCTTTTAAGTTTATTCTGCAATTTTTTTAAAGTTTATTCTGTAAGCTTGATTACTTTGTAATCAAGACTTTCATAGGGGCCGGGGAGATGGCTCAGTGGAATAAGCGCTTCCCTGGCAAGCGCAAGCGCCTGAGTTCAATCCCCGGTTCTTCCAAAAAAAAAAAGACTTTCATAATGTTGCTTTGCTTTTCAAACTCCTGTGTTTTTTAGTTACAGTTGTAATTTAGTCAGGTGAGCAGAGACAAATGTGACCTATTTTTCAATCAGTTCCTTGATGGTTCACAGTTATTTAATATTTGAATCCCAGCTCAACAAAATGTACAAGGTTCTTTAACATTTGGTACTTCCAACTCTTCTAGCTTTCCTTCTACTGAATGACAGGTGTTTTCAAAATGGTGTGGGATTGTACTCTTAGCTTTTTTGTTTGTTTTTTAGTGGCTCTTGCCTTCCCCATGTTTATCTCCCCAGGAAGCTCTTATATATGCTTTATTGTCCCACTAAGTGTCAGTCCCTGTATAGAGAGAGGAAGGGCTACCTGTTGTCACCTAGGTATGTGTATTTAGGAAAATAACGTGCCTGCTTGTTTCTTGTTCACATAAATGCAACGAGGTATTTCTAGAAATAGGATTCTGAAACATTTCCTTTTGTGATGAAAAAAAATTGTGCCAGGTTAAATTTATAAATTAAATTTTGGTGCCTATTTTTCTACCACATGCCTTCCAGTTTGAACATGATCATGCCCTACTTTAAAGAGATATTTGTTATTCACAATATAAATAAAGCTCAGAAGTTGAAAGGATTACTATGGAATTTTGTTGTTTTTGTTTTGAGACAAGGTCTCACTATATAGCTCAGGCTGCCCTCAAGCTCACTATGTAGCCCACGCTGGCCTTGAACTAGCAGTGATCCTCTCCTTCAGCCTTCAAGTGCTGGGTTACAGGAATGCACACTATGCTCAGCCTGTTTTGATTTTTGGCTTTTTTTTTTTTTTTCTTTCTTTCTTTCTTTCTTTCTTTTTTTTTTTTTTTTTTTTTTTTTTTTTTGGTGGAACTGGGGATTGAACTCAGGCCCTTATGCTTGCCAGCGAAGCGCTTATTCCACTGAGCCATCTCCCCCGGACCGTTTTGATTTTTGAGACAAGGTCTCCTTGTTAGCCGAGGCTAGGCTTCAACTCATTATCGTCCTGCCTCAGCCTCGTAAGTGTTAGGATTAAAGGTAGGTACCACCACATGAGTTCTTGTGTTTCTTCTTCATTTTTACCAATTTAGCACGTTTTTTGGAGATAATTTATGGCATATGCAGTAAATTAATGTTGCTCCAAAATAAAGGAACTTACTCTACCCGACAGTAGAACTGCTTTAAAAGTGTTTTGATCATCTTGGTTCTTTTCATTGTGTTAAATGAACTGGCTCTAGCTCCTGGGGTCAAATGTTTCCTCTGTCTCACCCTCACAAGTAACAGATACTTCAGGCACACACATCAATATATCCAGCGTAAAAATCATTTAAGATGCTGGGGGGTTTTTTTGGTGCTGTTTAATTAATGTTGCATACAATTTTTTGCATACACTTTTTAATGTGCTTGACTTTGTAGACAATTTTCTTCAAAAATATTTTCTTTAACAGTGATCAAGCTGGTAATTGTTATTATGTGTATTGTACCTTAATGTAATTTTTCTTTGAATCAGTCCATAAAGGCCTCACTCTCTAGCTGTTTTCTCTACTACAGATCTTCACAGCTCTATACTTTAACTTCTGTACCACCAAGAAACAAACTTCTCATTATGTTAATGAGCTTTCTTTCATGTTTTTTGTTTTGTTTTGTTTTGTTTTTTTTTGTTTTGTTTTGTTTTGTTTTTGGTGGAACCAGGGATTGAATTCAGGCCCCTTTCATCTTAATTTTGTTAACACTTCCCTTTTGTGTACCTTAGATGAGACCTTCACAAAAGACACATATCTAGATACTCAGTCTTTTTTTCTTTCCATTTCTGCCTTTAAAAAAAGAAAAATTAAAGTGAGTACAAAGTTGTATTAACACAAAAATTTCAAATAATACAGAATCTCACTAAACAAAATAACATGAATTTCACAGTATTTGTTGTATTGCATAGTGTTATCTTCAAATTATTCATACTACCATATATACACATGCAAAATTGGAAAAAGAAAAAATATATAAAAAAAGAAGGGAGGAAAAGGAAAAAGAAGAGAGAAGACAAAACAAGGGCCGGGGGAGATAGCTCAGGAGGGTCCTGAGTTCAATCCCTGGTACCGCCAAAAAAAAAAAAAAAAGACAAAAATTAAGAATTTATTGCTCCTTTCCATAGATCAACAGAAATCCATAGTACAGTTGTGCAAACCATCCTGCTTACCTACACAGATATATCTTTCCCCCCCTATGTTTTTTTTCATTTTCTATAAAGAGTGTATAATTTGATAGAACCAGAAATACCTCATTCTCAGTAACTTTTTGGGTTGGTCTGGCTTGGCTTGGTTTTGGAGACAGGATCTTGCTGTGTCGAACAGGCTCACCTTGAACTTGATAATGTAGTGCAGGCTGACTTTGAACTTTCACTCCTTCTCTCTGAGCTTCCCAAGTGTTGAAATTATAGGGAACACACCATGGCAGGCTAGTGAGCTTTTCTTTCTGCCCTACTTGGGCATTCAGTGTTATGTGGTACTTATCCGAGGACCTTGCCGTACCTGCCACAGCCTCCCAGACCACCAGAGCTTCTGATCTCTCTAGCACATTCAGCTGTCCCGTGTGTTTGGCTGTATTGACTAGCACTGTGCCTCACCTGAGTGCCTGTCTTAAAGTTCTGACTGATTCTTCCTTTTCTGCCCTCTTCTTTAGGCCTTTTGTATTTCTGGCTGGTTATTTTCGTGAATGTAAATATGCTTTTCACATTCTGTGTAGAATTCGTCAAGCACATTCTGTTAGTTAGAGAATAAAATGCAGAAATACCATGGTATCCCAAGCCTTGCAGTGTGCCTCTAGATTTAAAAAAAATAACAGTTAATATTCCAATCTTGCACATCTCTCTTTGGCTACATTAGAGTCTTTGTAGTGTACTAAACATGTCTCTGGACATAGCAGGAGATACTGTTCTGATTATCCACAAAGTTTTCCTTGGTGTCGAGTTCAATTTAGGCATTAGGTTCTGCTTCAGGTTATTATATATATCTCCATTATAGCTTTTGTCACATGTGATACCAGTTTGGTTTTTTGCCTGGACTGTATGCCATTTACTCATGTGGAAAGCATGTAAAAGAAACTCAAATATAATCTGTTGGTTTCATGAATAATTTACAAAAAGGAAATGAAACTAAAGAAAACTATTATTCTAGCTGTCTGGTAACCAAGGGACTCTAGATTTTAATGTCTAAAAAAAAAAGTGAACATTCTTCTACTTAGGACTGAAGAGGTAGCTCAGTAGAATAAGCACTTGCCTGGCAAGTGCGAGGTCCTGAGTTCAATCCCCAATACCACAAAAAAAAAAAAAAAAAAAGAATAATGTTGTCGAAATTTTCACTATTATAAATGGAAAAATTTTGAATATATCACTCATGTTGGCAGAATCATAGTAAAACTGGTGTTAGAGATGTCCTTAATTTATATAGCAATTTTGGAGAGTTTTGCAGTTATCTGAAAAAATAAATTTTCATGTATGATTGTAAAGACAAAAATCATATGCACTTGCATGTATATTGTGATTATACTTGCACTTAAAAATGTATAATTAGTACAGAATGTAGGTAGGTGGTAGGGTGTTTGTTAGTGTTGTGAGGCCTTGAGTTTAAACCCCAGCACCACAAAATCAATAAATAAAAGCCAAACACATGTTTACATTAAAAAAGTAGCAGTGATTTTTTTTTTGTAATGTAGAATTGTGAATACTTTTCCCCTTTGATAATATTTTGTATAGTATTGTTATATGATTTGAAATGTATTTAACTTCAGTATTTAGAGTTTTTAAAAAATGTTACCTTGAATTAAAACTTTTTTTGCTAGGGTTTTTTTTTTTTTTTCCATAGTGGCTTTCAGGATTGGGAGAAGGACTTGCCAGTTAAAAGTTGCTGTTAAGTTGTAGTAATACATAGGTAGCCAGAATCAGGATTGAAGAATACAAACATGTATTTCAAACATACTTTAAAAAATATAATCATGTAACTCATTGATTTTTCAAATCTTAATTGTAAATGTTCTGTTTTAAATGTATTTTTTGTTTTAATTTTAAGGTACCAGTTTTTGGAAGAAGCTTTTCAAAATCAGAAAGGTGCAATTGAGAATCTGTTGGCTAAGCTTCTTGAAAAGAAGAATTATGTTCATTTTGCAGCTACTCAGGTGCAGAATAGGTAAGTGTGTTGCTTTAAAACCATAATTTCACACTAAGGATTATTAAAGAGGCATGGGGCCCACGTAAAGTTGTCTTCCTACTATATTAAGTATAGATAGAAAACATAATTTTTTAAGGGGAAGTGATATAACTTGAATGTGGGACTATTTGTTAATTAGCTAGATTTTTATACAGTTTTAGGATACATCCTTGAGCATGTTCTTTTTTTTTGAAACAGGGTTTCACTATGTAGTTGAGGCTTGAACTCACTATGCCCTATAAATTTGCTCTACAAATTAATTTATTTAGAAATGGACTCAATGTGTAGTCAAGGCTGGCCTCAAATTTACAGTGAGCCTCCTGTCTCAGCCTCCTCAGTGCTTGGACTGTTTTTATAATAAGACTAATTTGTGTAAGCCTTAACCTTGGGGAAAGAAATTAGTATAAAGACAGCTGAATTATAAAATTAAAGTAGAGATTGTGTGGAAAATAACAATATAAACAAAAGAGTATCAAGAATAATGAACACTTGGTGGTGTCCACATGGTGAAGCATGCCTGTCATCCCCAGTACTTGGTACAGGGGTGGGGTCGGGGGCTGATGTAATAGGATCCCAAATTTGAAGCCAGCCTGGCTAATTTAGGGAGATCTTATCTATACAAAAAGGGCTGTGGAGTGCCTCTACGTCCAGTTTCTAGCACTAAGAAAGAAAAAAAGTAGTGGGCATATTTATTTTTCCTTATCTAAAACAAGCATTAAAAGCATTATTTATCTTACATGTAACATAATATGAATACATAATAATTTTTTGGCATACTAAGCACTCATATTGGCTTCTGCTATTTTATTATTACTACTGCTGTCATTATTACTTACAAATAACCTATTTTGGTACACTTTTGAATAAATTAATTCGTAAGGCAAGTGAAAATAAGTTCTGTGAAAGAGTAGATTAACAAGGTTAGAACTCTTACACCACAAAGACAAACACTTGGAGCTGGCATAATAAAAACTGGAAATATTTGGGGATATGAATAGGATTATTTGAGTGCCTTTTTGGGATATAGATTCACAAATATTGTGCCTTTCTCTATTGAGTTTAATTTGTAATGATTAAAATTGAACACAATATATAATCAAAAATTGAATGTGTAAATGAAAATAGTGTTTGACAGGTGATTGAACTTTTTTCATCTTAAGTGATTTCAAAAGAAAAAAGGTCTTATAAATAGTAATACACACACGTTGATCCTTGGGTTTTTGAAATGTCAGTTTGTTTTTGGGTTAAAGTCCTGTTACGTTGTGCGTGACTTTGGAGAAGATAACTGTCTTCTCACAAGTTATAATTACATGTTCCTTTCAGAAGTACTTGAGTCACATGGAAGCTCTGTATTTTTAAGCATATGTTTTTGTATGTATGTTGCATTTTTTCACATTTTCTGTACATGTGAGGTATACTTTTAAAATAGGGAGAATGTTTAAATTTTTAGGAATTATTTATTGCCATTAATCACCCTCAGCATACTCTCCCTTGCTTAGAACATGCTTATCCCTTGTTTGAGCCACTTCCCAAAGCAGTTCTGGAAGTTCTCTTTCGTTTCTTCTTAGTTATGCTGGCCATGGCTGCTTCAGTGTCCTGAATCAGTTCAAAGTGTTTACCGTTCATGACCATTTTGAGTTTGGGGAAGAGCTAGAAATTCCAGAGTACCAAATTAGTGAATAAGGTGAATGAGAAGACATTGTAATGTTTTTATGAACGTGGCTTTTCAGTAGATGATACTTGGTAGCATCTTAGTGTTTGTTTGATCAGATCTCAGAGACACACATCAAAGAGGACTTTAAAAAACTGATTCAGTGACTTAAGTATGTGCCTGGCAAGCACAGGGTCCTGAGTTCAATCTCTGGTACAAAAAAAAAAAAAAAATTGCTTCAGAAAATGGCAAGGATAATAGGGGATAAGTGTGTTCAGAGCAAGGCCAAGTATGTTGAGGGTGATTAATGATATTTTTTTTTTTACTGTAGTAAGCTTTAGATTATATACCCACTGTATATTTTGATTATTCCTTATATGTTGCTGCATCTGTATTCTGCTGAACTATATAGAAATAGAACAAAGGGTATCTGAGATTCTAAAGTTTTGGGGAAGATTTAATCACAAGAAAGCTGTTTAAAAGCATTAAAAATTCTAGTATCTTTCTTCTTTACGCACATTATTCAATGACCTGTCTCTGTTCCGGGCTGAGGTGGGTTGCTGAGTGTTAAACCTAGGGCCTAACCGTTGTTAGGCAAGTTACTGTACTGTACCACTGAGGTGTACACCCCTGCCTTCCATTATCACCTTCTGCCACCCCTGTTAGTGTTTTGAAACATTATACAGTTCAGGCTGGCCTTGAACTCACCCATGTAGCCCAGGGTAGGCTCAAACTTGCAGCAATCCTCTTACGTCAGCCTCCCAAGTACTGGGTCCATTATTTTTTAATGTACTTTCTTTCCTTCATAAATTGAGCATATAGTTGATTGAAGTATCATCAGTAATTAATACCTTTTTTAAAAAATAAAAATGTCTCTATTCACTAAATTCAATAAAATTACCAAGCTGTGCATGTGCATGGTGATACTTTTTAAATCCAGGATTCTAGGAGTCTTGACGAAGGAGGACTGCAAGTTCAAGCAACTTAGTAAGACCCTGTCTCAAATTTTTAAAAAGGCTGGGGATGTAGCTCAGGGTGATGGTTCTGGATTCAGTCTACAGTATCAAAACCACTTCCCCAATAAATGGACAAGAGGAAGAAATTGAAATAACTGTTCAAATAGTGATACACAAAGGAGGAAAACCTGTGTTACTATTGTTTTGAGTGAATTAAAGTTGCCCAAATCTAATTTTGCAAATGAAAAGCTTATGTATAAAAAATGGAAGTTACCTTTTATGATTGATTGTTGACATTTTGTGTATTTCTATTAGTAGGATTCCCCCGTCCCCTTTCATAAGAATCAAGGTGTGTCAGCCACTTATATCTAAAATATATAATAGCTATTCAAAAAATCGGGAGAGGGGTTTTGTTGTACTTGGGTATAGCTCAGTGGTAGAACATGTGCTTAACATGTGAGAGCCCTAGGCTCAAGCCTCATTAAACTGTGCTTTCCCCCGCCTTGCAAAAAGAATGGATTGAAAATGTCTTAATACCTTTTAGTATATATAGTAGGAAATCATTTTGAGAAGAAGTTATGGAAGGAGCATATCAGAACCCACATTTGAAGTGGTTAAGTGAAAATGAATGCTTCTAAATTTAATTCCCACCCTCTGGAAAGGTAATAATTATTGGTTGGGATATTGTTGGTGGAAACATTAAGATTAAATAGAACCAATGTGTCAGAATTAATTCTAACCAGCAATCGTTGGTGTTAGATGTTTGTATGTTACATTCGTGTTATAATGACATAAGGAGATTGTTTGCCACGTTAATCAGCTGGCTTTTATGAGCTTAATTTAAAGCTACTATTCATTCTTTTGTCTCTATACATAACTTGTTGGGACCAAATTAAGTGATTTGGTCTGCTAAAATACAAGTTGTACACTTTGACAGAGTTTTAACTTAAATACTTGGTTAAATGCCCAGTTGGATGAATATCTGTAACAATTGATGCCTCAGACACATAGGATAAGTCGATAACCTAATGATGCGTTTCTCTTATTCAGGATAAAAGAAGTAAATGAGACTAACAAACGAGTAGAACAGGAAATTAAAGTGGCCATTTTCACCCTTATCAATGAAATTAATAAGAAAGGAAAATCTCTCTTACAGCAGCTAGAGGTATGGTTCAAAGCCAAAATAAAACAAAAACTGCTTCTCTTGCTCTTCAGGTGTTTTTAATGTTTATTGAAAGCTCTTTTAAATGGGTTGGGGGATATGAAAATAAAGTAAAAATTTAAAATAGATTATTTTTCCCCATTTCCTGTTAGGAAAGAGACCTTTTTTCTAGTTACTTTGCTAACTGATATAACACTGATTTTAGCTGTATGCCTTAGGAAATAGTGATGTCCTTTAGGAGTGAATGATTGTTACTAAAATGTGTTACAACTGAAGACAAAGCAGGCCTAGTACATATCTCACCGTAACAAGGGCATAAAGGGCTTTGGTTTCAAGCCATTTGTATGTTTCACCTTATTTTAAAAATAGTTCCATAGTTGCACAAAAAAATACTGCTTAGTTTGAAACTTATTTTTTATTATTTTTTTAAAATGTATTTTAGTACAGGGCCTACAAGGGTCTCACCTCGTTGATCGGACTCATAGTGATCCTCCTGTGTTCTGTCTCCCAAGTGCTGGGATTACAAGCATGCGCCACCACACTCAGTCTCAACTGCTGTCTTAGCATGCCCCAGGGATGCAGCTGGCACAACTGTGGCCACTGTGCTCTGCCTAAGCAGTCCCTTTAGTCCACTGAGCCATCGGGCCAGCCCTTATTTGGAAATTCATAAACCTTAAATTTATCAATTTTATGATACTAGATATTTGTGTTGTGTATTTTGTGGGGTTCTTGGCCAGCTCAGCCCACCCTAATGGCTGCGCTGGTGTGGCATGTGATGCTGGGGATCGAACTGCAGTCCCCTGTGCCTTCCTAAGCTTGCCTAAGCAGGTGCTTTAGACCTCTGAGCCATCTCACCGGCCCCACATTTTGGGATTAATATATAGTTATAAGTTCTTAGTGGAGGATCTAGCCAGTTTGAAATCCAAATTATTTTTTAATTAGACTCTTTTTTAATGTATTTGATACAGGGTCTTAACTACGTGGCTTCTACTCATAGTGATCCTCCTATTTTCAGTCTCCCCAAAACTGGGATAACAAGTGTGCATCACCACACTGTCTCAGTGGCTGGCTCAGGATGCCCAGAGGTGGGGCTTGTGCAGCATGTGGTACCGGGGATCGAACTCTGGTCCTTGTGCTTGCCTAAGCAGGCACTTAGTCTGCTGAGCTATCTCACTGGCCCATTAGACTCATCTTTACTACCCACAGTTGATCTCAACAAATTTCATATGTAAAATATCTTAAAAGTTGTGTTTTCTACATCATTGAATAGTAATAATTTAAACTCTGTATTTGACTACAGTATTTAATTTCCAAATACATAGAACCCTTTAAAAATAGAAAGGTAGCTAAACACAAATGAAATTATGATGTCTGAATTTCTGTCTTTTAAATACATCTATCTGTTAGACACAGTTGTGAGATTTAGAAGTATCCATACACATATCATTAAAATCAGGGGGGTCTCTTTTCTGTTGTACATCTACTATGTTGCTTTTAATCTTACAGGGTTTTTCCCCCTCCAAAAGTACCATGTGAATGGAGAGCACTTAGCAGTAACTATTTTTGATACTTTCTCACTTACTATAAAATGCATCTTAATTATATACCTAAAACAAAATTTGTAAAACCATTGCAAGCGCTTCAGACTTAAAAGTTTCCTCTTATTGCTAAAGTATAGGTAACTAATGATAAATACTATGTACTGTATATTCCTAACATTATAATAATTTTTGAAACAATTTTTATAGTGTAATGTCCTAAACTTCATAAAAGAGGGGGTTTCCACACTTTGCAAAAGGGATGATCTCTAGTCAACTTGTAAATGCTGTCAGTTGAGCACTACTACCCATTATTTTTTTTTCTAAAATGCACAGCTTGTTTCCTTGGGAAATATACTGTCAAATAAACTACGTGGAGTAACCTTTGGGAAGACAGTGGTTAACAAAGTAGGTAGATTGTTGGGCAAGCTGAACATCAGTGTGCATAGGACATTCATTATCCATCCCTTCTGGTGGCTTTAGTTCCCATTAAGCATCTTATTTTTCCTTTGCAGCACGTTTTTGAAATTACTTTTTCTGGTTTACTCAGTCCTCACTCCTTTTTCTTTCCTTCTTTCTTTTTTCAAAAAATATATTTAGTACAGGGTCTACAGGGTCTTACTATACAGATCAGACTCAGTGATTCTCCTGTTTTTAGCTTCCCAAGTGCTGGGATTACAGGCACAGGCCACCACACCCAGTCTCAATTGCCATTTCAGTGTGCCTTGGGGGCCGGGCCAGCACAGCTATCTATCCGCTGAGTATTCTGGCCAGCCCTACTCCTTTTTCTTTTGAACTTCATTATTTAAAAAATTATCCTCTTGGCAAAGCATCAGGGACCGCGGTTCAATCCCCCAGCACCACATGCCAGCCAGCCCCGCCCCCTGGTGGGCTGAGCTGGCCACACACACACACCACTCTCTCTCTCTCTCTCTCTCAAATAAATAAAAAATAAATAAATAAAAAATAAAAAATTATCCTCATCTTACTATTAGAACTTTAGAGTTCATTTTTTTTAAATTTTGTTATAAGAAAAATATTAGCTTCATTCTGTGTCAGTAGATGGCACTGGTTATACAATATTTTTCACTGGCCTAGGAAAGCGTGGTGAGTTAAGATTATATAAAATTACTACTAAGGATCAGTTTATACTGCCACATGAAATTAATCAAATAGGATGACACTATTTTTAACAGACATTCTATGTGCTGAAAGTAAAACAGATACCATCTAGTATTATTTCTCTATGTGGAATATTTTAGCTTAGAGAACAACAAAGTTTTAGTTCTGTTTTTATTAGTAATTTTTCCTCTGATTGGTCATAGGCACGGTAAATAATGAGCTAGTGTGCATTATTTTTTCATATGGTATTCTTGAGTGAAGTTCTTGGTCTATTTCAGAATGTTACAAAAGAAAGACAGATGAAGCTTCTGCAGCAGCAGAGTGACATCACAGGTCTCTCCCGGCAGGTGAAACATGTTATGAACTTTACAAACTGGGCCATCGCAAGTGGCAGCAGCACCGCACTACTGTACAGCAAACGGCTGGTAAGACACGTAGTATCTTTTTCTTTAATCAACTTTATTAAGGTATTATTGACATTTGGCAGTTATCACTACCCTCTTATTAAGATGCAGGGACTTTGTATCAGAGGTAACCATTACTCTGGAATCATTTTCTAGAAATTTAAATGAGAGAAAGAATGTAAACAGTATGTGCTTTTATGAAGGCACCTAGTATCTTAATTTTTTTTAATTTTTATTTTGACACAGGATCTTGCTATGCAGTTTAGACTCTAGTTATCCTCCTGTCCCAGTTTCCCCAGTGCTGGGATTACAGGCATGTGCCACCATGCCTGGTTCTAGGGCTGACACAGTGCACCCAAGGTTCTGAGACTGGCATGGCATAGGATACTGGGGATTGAATTTGGGACCTTGTGCTTGCCAGGCAGGTGCTTAAACCGCCAAGCTATCTCCCCAGCCCTGGTACCTAGTATCTTAATACAGTTGATGATTAGAAATGATAAATTCAAGAATAGGTATTTTATTTGATTGCTGATTTACTCATCGGCACTATTTCATCTGAGATTTAATACCGAGGGGCTGTTTGAGCTTTTAAAAATGCTATATTTTGTATGCTTTCTCAGTTGGTATTTAACCTTAAGACTGACTTGAATTTTTTTCCCTTTAAGATTACCTTTCAATTGCGTCATATTTTGAAAGCGCGGTGTGATCCTGTCCCTGCTGCTAATGGAGCTATACGTTTCCATTGTGATCCCACCTTCTGGGCAAAGAATGTAGTCAATTTAGGTGAGAAATAGTTACATTAATATATTGTAGAAGACTGCTTGTGAAGAGAAAAACGTGTAAATTTTGTTTTTTGTTTTTTGAGATAGGTCTCAGTATGTACAGTTATGTAGTTGAGAATAGCTTCAATTCTCTACATAGCCCAAGTTGGTCTTTCACAGCAGTCCGCCTGCCTCAGCTTCCAGAGTACTGGGATTACGGGTATATGCCACCATGCATGGCCTAAGTTTCTGACTTTGAAATATCAGTAGCCAGATGTGGTGGCACATTCCTGCAGTGCCAGTATGGAATGCAGCTAAGCTGTAAAGATTGCAAGTTTGAGTCCTGCCTGGATTTAGTGAGACTGTCTGAAAATGAAATTGGCTTAGAATGTAATTCACGGGACAGAATATCCCTGGGTTCAGTCCCAACTAGTATTGCAAAAATGAAATGAAATGTGAATGACTTGGAAAATAAGTTTTTCATTCAAAAACTTGTTCTAGTTATGTTTTTGTTATAGTTTACAGTATTGTGTTCTTTTTGTGCTGGGGATTGAACCTAAGGCCTTGCAGTTTACCCCTGAACTATACCCAGAGCCTCTCTGTAGTGCTTTATAATATGTATCATTTCTAATTTTTTCTCCTGTATCTTTTCAAATTAATATTAACTACTTCATATACATATAGAAATTGTGGCAAATGGCATATGTATAAATCCCAGGCGCTGGGAACCTGAGGGAGGATTGAACATTTTGACTAACCTGAGCTTCACAATGATACTCTGTCTCAAAATACAAAGCAAAACAAAACCCCCCTAAAGTAAATAAACACTTAACAAATGACTCTGCATTCTCTGGAAGAATTAATTCTACCAAGTGGTGCACTAATGGAGGATCTTTGGAAAGCTGATTTGTCCAATGGTCAGGTCTTAAGGAATCCTTTAAAGATAAAAACAACAATTTTCACATGGAAGAGAAATGGACCTCACTTATTATTCCTCATTGTGGACCTATAAAAAACCAGCCAGGTGTGGTGACTCATGCCTGTCTCCCTATCTACTTGAAAGGCTAAGCCAAGAGGCTACTAGAGCCTAGGAGTTCAAGGCCGGCCTGAGCAGTGTAGACCTTGACTCTTTAAAATAGCATAAAAAGTTATCTATAGATTCAGTAAGTTCATTTTCAAAATAAAGTACTCAATACTGGAAATTCTGAGAGTACCTGTTATAACCTTTAAAAAAGGGTAATCTTTAGGTTAAAAAAAAAAAATCCTATTCATCAGTTGCAGTCTTAGAGCTACTGCTGTTATGTGGCATAGTAGCCAAGAATGGTTTTTACATTTTCAAAGAGTTGTAAAAACAAACAGAATCAAAGACCGATAGATCTTATGTGGCTTTCCAACCTTTGCCTTAAATCACACCTTCCTAAAATGTATCCTCTTGTGACCCTGGGAAAAAATGATCACTTTGGAAGACATGAATAGTTTAAACCATTTAATATTTCCACAGAAAATATTTTTATTTTTTATTTTTAAAATCTCTTATTTATGTATTTCATACAGAGTCTCACTATGCAGCTTTGATTCTAGTGATCCTCCTGTCTCAGCCTCGTCAGCATTGAGATTACAGGCAGGTGTCACCATGCCCAGTTTTGGTGGCTGGCATGGTGCGGGTGCTAGCATGGCATGGGGTACCAGGGATCGAACCCGGATCCTGGCACTTGCTAGGCAGGCACTTAGACTGCTACACTATCTCTCTGGCCCCACAGAGAAGTTTTTTAGCAAAATACTTCTCTGTCCTTTATATTTTGGCAATTCAAAAACAGAGTCAGTATTAGCAATCTTGATTATCTTTGAGTCTTGATATAGAAGAATTGATTTAGATTGACTGAGTATCCTCTAATATCTTTTTTAGATCTTTAATTTTCTCCACACCTGCATAAATACAGGATAAGGACAGATGATCAAAAGTCATACTAGGTTTCTAATCATCATCATCTTTCAACTTAGCTCCTACCCCTGCTGTACTATTGGAAAGTTTAAGATGTTGATAGTTTTCATTAGGAGAAGGGAAACAGTGATTAATTTGTGAAGTAAACAATTCAGTTGATTTTATGCAAATCTTTCTTATTTTTAAATCTTCAGGTAATCTAGTGATAGAGAGTAAGCCAGCTCCTGGTTATACTCCTAATGTTGTAGTTGGACAAGTTCCTCCAGGGACAAACCACATTAGTAAAACCCCTGGACAGATTAATTTAGCACAGCTTCGACTTCAGCACATGCAGCAACAAGTATATGCACAGAAACATCAGCAATTGCAACAGATGAGAATGCAACAACCACCAGCCCCTGTACCAACTACAACAACAACAACACAGCAGCACCCTAGACAAGCAGCCCCTCAGATGTTACAGCAACAGGTCAGTATTGAGTCACTACATTATCGATATAAATTATGATGGCTTCAGATCTTTTATTTTCTCTATATAGATGAATTATACGTTCAGATTATTAGCAGAAATAGAGTTCAAAGGTCAGTGTTCATTTGCACTGGTTGTCCTAGGGATGTGACAGAAGTGTGAAGAAGAAACGTGTAAGTAAATAACTTATTGTGGAAAATAAAATTAATTTACTACTACTCTGAAAGTATTAAAGTTCTCATCATTCCCCAAAATCATTGTGGACTAGAGAACTAGATTATTTCTACCTAAGAGCCACTGTGTTCATATCATTCCCATCCTTCTGGCTTTCCTGCTTTCTGCCCCTCCTAGTTGGAGCTGTTACTCAGGGTGAGGTAAATTATGTTAATATGCTTTAAATACATGCATACTGAGAGGGGAATTGGGAATTTCAGAGTGATACACAAAGTAGTAATTACCAGTCCTTCAGGGATTGGCGAGAGACGAGAACGGTGACTTACACCTTGTACTTTATATGGTTCTATTCTGATGGAATTATTTGTAATTGAAAGATTTATAAAGGTTATTAATTTCTATTTTTTAATAGCCTCCAAGATTGATCAGTGTGCAGACAATGCAGAGAGGCAACATGAACTGCGGAGCTTTTCAAGCGCACCAGATGAGGCTAGCTCAGAATGCTGCCAGAATCCCAGGAATACCCAGGCACAGTGGGCCTCAGTACTCCATGATGCAGCCGCACCTCCAAAGACAAGTATGCCTAGAGTTACGTTTGTAAGAGTCATACACTTTTAAAACTAAAAGACATTTTTTTTAATTCAGTTGATGGGGACAAGTCATTGATATGTTTGAGAATTTGGTTAATATTATTTATCTTCTTGTCCCAGAAAATACACATATACACTATACATTAAATTTTGTATTTAATTGTAAAAATCTTTTTGATTTTTAAGTCCATCCCATACTGTGGGTTAAGAATCACAATGTGATTAAACGCATTGATTTACAAAAGTAATAAACAATATAAAGAACTTTTGAAGTATCTTCAGTCATAAGAAATGATACAGTAAAAGTTAGAACTTTTATTTCGTGGTGTTAGTACACGGTCTTGCTACATAGTTCAGACTCGTAGTGATCCTCCTGTCTCAGCCTCTGCAGCCCTGGGATTATAGGCCTGTACCACCACACCCAGTTTCAGGGACAGTGCAGCATGCCCCACTTTATTTCCATATTTTCCCTTCCCTTTCTCATAATTGTTTTTTCTTTCCCTGTCCCCCACCCCTGGTTCCTCTTACTATTTGAATATTTTCTTACTACTTTACAATAGCTGTTGCACATTTTGGTCCTTATTTATACTGTTTAAATACTTAAACTTTCTCACACCAGAGAAACAATGCAGTTTTACATATGTGTGTCTGATTTATGTCACTTAAGAGTATGTCCTTAGGGCTGGGATTATAGCTCATTGGTAGAGTTCTTATCTTGCATGCATAAGGCCCTGAGTTCAATCCCTAGCACTAGCCAAAAAAATAAAAGTATGTCATCAAGGTTCATCCATTTAGCTAGAAATGTCTCAAGTTTATCCTTCTTTATGGCAGAATGATTCGTTGTTGTATGAAAAAAAAAAAAAAAAAAACTTCTTTAGTTATTAATTGGTTGATGGGTATTTGGGCTGTTTCCAAACTTTACCTTTTACAAAGCGGTGCTATATACATGGGTATGCATAAATCAGAGTGATATAGTGCTTTTATTTCTTTTGGGAAGATACCCAGGAAATGAATAGCTGAGTCAAGTGAAACCTCTGGTCCTAGTTTTTTGAGGAATCTCCCCCACTGATTTCCATAATGTTTGCACCAGTCTACATTTCCACCAGCAGTGAACAAGGGTTCCTTTATCCCCACAGCCCCTCCATTTGTTATTGGTTAATTTCTTAGCAAGCACTTTTGAAGGTGAACATTTTACATTTTTTTCTCCTTAGTCTTATATTTCACTTTTATTTCTTTTGAAGAATTTTACTTTTTATATACTTAAGCTAGGTAGACATAAATTATCCATATATATATATATATATGTGTATGTGTGTGTATATATATATAAAATTTTATTTATTTATTTATTTATTTAGTGGCCGACTCAGCCCACCCTGGGGGCAGGGCTGGTGTGGTATGTGGTTCCGGGGATCAAACTGCAGTCCCTACGTGCTTGCCTAAGCTTGCCTAAGTAGGTGCCTTAGACTGCTAAGCAATCTCGCCAGCCCATCCTCTTGTAATATTCTTGCAAAAGTGTATCAGTGAAATTTCTTTATTAAATTTACAAATTTAAATTGGAAAACCATTTTTTAGTTTTCAAATATTTTAAATTACTTACTTACATGTGTATAGTAATTTCCCAAAGACATTTATACATGACCTTAATAATGCTCATAACCTTTACAGTGAAACAGATGAGGTACCATTTGTCAGCATTTCTAAATTAATTTGTGGTTTCCCTGATATCACATACAACTGAGAACTGATGTTGTATTTTCTTTCTATAAATTTATCTTTTTCTAATATATCAAGCTGCATTACCTATTTCTATTAGAAAAACAAAAGAGGTTGCCGGGGAAATGGCTCAGTGGAATAAGCATTTCTGTGGCAAGCACAAGGGCCTGAGTTCAATCCCCGGTTCCAGAAAAAAAAAAAAAAAAAAAAAAAAAAAAAACTTCTTTAGTTAT